TGGTACGCGTAGACGGTCTGCTTATCTTTGTCATTCACTGCTCCCGAGTTCACCTCCAGTCGTCCTGGCTCTGGCTCTCCACCGGGCTCAGACGTGCGAGAAAAGAGAGAGAGCCTGGCAGATGCTACGCATGTCTGCTACCACTATAAAATAATCCACGCACAAGTCACCATCTTGCGTCGACCATGTCGTGGGGCACACAGTTGACATCATCGTCCGCCGCGATCGAGCTCTCGTAACGAACCACACTCACTGAACGTCTCAGCTTAGAGGGTTGCCAACTAGTAGAGCTTGGCTTGAACAAGTTGCCAACGGTTATTTATTAATTTCGACTGCTGACATCTTTTGTTGATGAATAAAGTGCAAATAGATAGATTATCACATGAGTAGCACGTGAGATACGGGAATAGAGCACCTGGTAACGATATGCTTTCGTTTTTGTTGCTACCCATGGGTCCGCCTCTTCCATATGCTTATCCAAAACCGGGGAAAAGCAGCTCAGGAAGGACTAAGCTTACGCAGTTTATGCCATTTGGGACAGTATTTGCACATAAGTTGAGCTTGTAAGCAGATCACTGCTTTTATAACCGCATCACCTGTCGTGTTAGTTCCCACCACGCTCGCTAACCCGAACCTCGAAGAATCCATTTTTTAAGTTTGTGAAGTCTATTTTTATGAATTTTTATTACTTTGATTATTTATTTGAAGCATTTTTCCCTGGTGCGAATTTAAAGTATGCCACTACTGCAGAACTTACTGAATCCAAAATATTTTGCGACTACTCGACAGCTTCTGTCTGTCGCTCCATAATATTAAGCACGAATGAGAGAATACAACAATTTAAATTCGTACAGAAAAAATCGATGCAAAATAACGTGGTCATGGTATATTATGACAATATACTTGGAAATAGGCCATGACCTTATTGTTTTGCATCAATTTTTTTCTGTACGCATTCAAATTTTTGTACTTTTTCATTCGTTCTTCGTGTTATGCAGCGACAGGTAGTAGCTGACGAGTTGTCGCAAAATATTTTAATTTCAATAAATTTTACAGCATATGCGTGTTTTCTCCTGGAGCGACATCCTGGATATTGATAAATGTATATTTGCAGCCAAAATTCCCTTTTTCTTTGATAAAATGCATGGAATAAGTGAATGAACAACCTGCCTAGATGCCCCACCCTAACCAAGTGCATTTCTGCCATCAAGTAGCCTCGATTTCGCCACATACTGTACCTGCTTCTTTATCATTGATACCTTTCACGTTTTTTTCCGTTCTTTTCTAGTTTATCGTTACCGTTCGACGTGGAGACCAGGTCTACCAGAGAGTTCTGGTTGCAGGCAAACCACCCCTGAAGTCGGGCTCTAGTCTACACCAATGGGATTGGGACTTTCCGGGTAACTACGGGCACTACGTTGGCCTCTACCCGCGCTCTTGGACCGCCTTTGAGCTGCCGGAATTTGATCTTCTTCTGATCTGTGAACAGGTAAGCCGATCTTTGCAAATAGCATCCCCACTAATGGCAGGGCATGACCGGTGATCCAAAACTACAAGACTAGCTGACCAAGCCTGTCACGCTCTTCATTTTGCCAGGGGGACTGGCGTTTAATAAATACACTGCATCTTCATAATGGTCGTGACTGGGTTGCCTCAGACTCGTTTAGAGTTCATCTCTATCATCACAGTCGATATCTGCAAAGCGGAATTTCCAACAACTTTGGTGGTAGGCAATTCGGGATACTGGCAAACAAACAGAAATTAATCTGGAAAATGTTTGACTTATTAACAGAAACTGGTCTATTTGGAGTGTATTTGCGCGATCAAGAGTGACGGGGAGGCTAAGAAAAACCGTAATTGAGGTCCACTATTGGTGGATCTATGAACAGAGTTCCCGATGGGGAGCTGGTAGCGTATTTATCAGCGTAGTTGATGGTTCGACCCAGTTATTCATCCTTCAACGCATCCATTAAACAACGATTGTC